TTTGCTTTTCCCCTAATTTTTGAAGGACAATTTTTATTGAATATAGTATTCTTGATTGACATTATATTTTTTTTCTTTCAGCACTTCGAATTTGTCTTTTAACTCTCTTCTAGCTTGCAAAGTTGGAGAATGTTCCATTTGTAATTTTTATTTTGTTCATGCATCATTTTCCTGATTTCATTTAGTTGTGTGCTCTTAAAAATATAATTGGTCATCCTTGTGATAGTATTTTTGATTTTTTGTCTGGTAATTCATAGATCCCTTTTAGGGTCAGATTTAGAGATTTAATTTGTTCTTTTGACTACCTAGAATTCTAATGACAATTAATCCTTGTACATGGCAAGTCTCTTCATTCAAGATTCTGTTTGTCTATGGCTTTTGACAGTTTGCTTATTGTGTATTTCTATGTACGTCTCTTTAGATTGACTTTTATTGAAAGTTCTTCTATCTCCTTGGTTGGTATGTCAGTTTTTGTCCTCAGACTTCGAAAGTTTTTAGACATATTTTCTTCAAAGAGTACTCTATGTACCTTTTTATTTTTCTTCCTCTTCTGGAACTCCCAAAGTGGTGTACATAAGTCTGTAGGCTCTGTTCATTTATCTTTTTATCTTTTTTTTCTTTTCTCTCTGTTTTTTGGAGGGGGGTTACCAGGGATTGATCTCAGGAGCACTAACCCCTGAGCCACATCCTTAGCCCTATTTTGTATTTTATTTAGAAACAGAATCTCACTGAGTTGCTTAGTGCCTTGCCATTGTTGAGGCTGGCTTTGAGCTTGTTATCCTCCTCCCTCAGCCTGCCGACTGCTGGGATTACAGGTGTGTGATTCTGCCTCTGGCCCTTTTTCTTTATTATCTTTTTATTTTTATTMTTCTGTCTTGATAATTTCAAAGTACTATTTTTGAAGTTGCTGATTTCTTCTGCTTGGTTGTCTGCTGTTGAATCCCACTAATGAATTTTTCAATTAATTAATTTTGTATTCTATAGCTGTAGTTGTTGTTTGCTCTTTCTTCTCAGMTTTTTAATGATATTTTAATTTTGTTCATGCATTATTTCACTGATTTCATTTAGCTTTGTGCTTTAAAAAATATAATTGGTCATCCTTGTGACAGTATTTTTGATTTTTTGTCTGGTAATTCATAGATCCCTTTTAGGGTCAGATTTGGAGATTTAATTTATCCTTTTGACTGTGTCATATTTTTCTTTATTTATATATGCCTTGCTATCTTTTGTGGGACTTTGGTATTTGAAAAATCAGCCACCTTTCTTAGTTTTTTTTTTTTATTTTTGTGGTCTAGTTTTGTACAGAAAGGACTTTCATCAATGAGAGTGGCCAGAGGTTCTGGAGACCTCTCAAGCCTTTCCTTTAGATATGTCCTCTCTGAACTTTTTCATTTAAAGTAATTGAAGAAGTGTCTTGATTCCTACTCAGAAGCTTTCGCTAATATATCTCTGCAGTACTGCAGGTTCTTTGGTGTTATAACAAGCTGATGTACTGGAGCTCTCCTTAATATCTGTCTATATAGTTCTACAGACTCTGGTGTTGAAACCAAGCCATCCTTGACTTTGTTCTCAGAGTTCACCAACCTGTTAGCTTGTTTCTTTTAGCACTTAAACTCAAACCACACAGAAACCAATCCCTTGGACAGCCCCACAAAAGTCAGAACACTGAAAATAGTCTACTCTTTCTTTCCTCTGGGAGAATTGCTCTTTCTCATTGCCATTCTTAGATTTTCTACCTCTGTGCAATTCTTTATCCTTCTTCCTACTCTAGGATTTAGCATTTGAAAATTGTTGTTGTGGTAAAATATACAAAACATGAAATTTACTTTCTTAACCATTTGTGTGTATGTGTGTGTGTATGTGTGTGTTTGTGTGTGTGTGTTACCGGGGCTTGAACTCAGGGCAGTATGAATGCAAGGCAAATACTCTACAATTGAGCCACATTTTAACCATTTTTAAGTGCACAGTTCAGTGATGTTAACCACACAGTGTTGTGCAGCCTTCACCACCATCTACATCCAGAGCTCTTTTTATCTTGAAAAATTAAAACTCTGTGCCCATCTCAAAATCTGTATCCATCCTCCTCTCTACTGCCTCTGCCAACTACCATTCTACTTTCTGTCTCTGTGAATTTGACTACTCCAGATAACTCATGTAAATGGACTCAGGCAGTATTTGTCCTTTTGTAATTAGTATTATTTACTCAAAACCAAATCCACAATGCTTATCCCTGTTGCAGCATGTGCCAGCATTTAATTCCTTTTAAAGATTAAACAATATTCTATTGTATTCCACAATTTGTTTATCTATTCATCTGTTGATGGACACTTGAATTGCTTTTAACCTTTGGCTACTGTGAATCACACTGATGTTAGCATAGGTGTACCAATGTCTGTTTTGAATCCCTGCTTTTAATTCCTTTATATAAATACCCAGAAATGTGATTATTAGGTCACGTGGTAATTCTGTTTAATTTTGAGGAACCTCAATACTGTTTTCCACCATGACTGTGTTATCTTGCTTTTTAGTACCAGTGCACAAGGATTTCAGTTTCTCTACATCCTTGCCAACACATGTTATTTTCTGATTTTTTTGTTTTATTTTTAATAGTAACCTTCATAAAGCATAAAAATGGTATCTCCTGTTTTCTGTTTATATTCTCTTAGTGACTAAAGTTGTTCATCATTCTTTTATGTGATTATTGGTCATTCATTTATCTCCTTGTTGGAGATGTCTATTTAAATTCCTTGCACATTTAATATTGAATTGTAGAAGTTCTTTCTGAACTGAATTGYAGCCCTTGTCAAATATATGATTTGCAAATATTTTAAACATTCTCTGGGTGGCCTTTTTACTCTTCTGTGCCTTTTTTGCACAAAMGATTTAATTTTGATGGAGTCAAATTCATCCATTTTTTTCTTTTGTTGCCAGAGCTTTTGGTATTAAATGCAAGAAATTATTGCCAAGGCTAATGTCACAAAGCTTTCCCCCTGTGTTTTCTTCTGACACTTTTGTAGTTTTGGGTCTATCTGGGTCTTAAATCCATTTTGAGTTTATTTTTCTATGTGGCATAAGGTAAGGATGCAACTTTGTTCTTTAGCTTATGGATATCTAATTTTCCCAACCACATTTGCTAAAAAGATGAATTTCCCCATTGGATGACCATGCATCCTTGTCAAAGGTAATTTGTCAGAGGTGAATTTTGAGTCTTTGAGTTATAAAGCCTGAACTGCCAGTCTCTTTCCTGAGTACTGTTGTTAGAGCAACTTTCGTAAATGGTTCATTCATGCTAACATAATTCTGCTTAAGAGATGATGTACCAAAACAATTAGCTTCCCTCAGGTTTTGTGCATGTGTRTTTACTCCACATTTCTATCTCTTAAAACCTTTATTGTACTTAATATATTTGTTGTTTCCTACTTTAAGTTCTTAAGGCTTTATATCTATAGGTCCTATTAATGTGATGAGATTAAAAAGCTATGAAAATGTAGACTAGTAAATATTGCAGAATTGCCAGAAATGTCTCTTGAAAAAGTTAAGTACCCAAGTGATTGACTTTACAGCCTTCTGTATGACATAAAGTTTATGCAATGTTTGCAGACAGAACACTTATCGAATCTAGTGAGGTTGAAAAAAGATGATACTTAATTCTCATAGTTGTTAGTAAAGCTTAATCTAAAATGTAGAATACTGCTTTGATGAAATTCAAGCACTAGGAAAGTAGTGCATAGCATTTGTTGGGTTGTTCTTTCCCAAAATGCTAGTAGCTTTTTAGAGCTAATATGACTTCATTGTGCTGTCAGATGTTTGAGGAGTTTGTTCAAATTCAGAATCATTGTTCCATTTTGTGTATTATGAAAATTGTTGCCAAAGTTATATTGGATACACAATTTTACAAGAGATAGAGAGCTCAGAGGTGCTACTCATAGCCTGAAAAGTGGAGTGCAGAGTCGATTTGTGAATGATCAGATATTTAGCAAAACTGAAGAAGGCTCATTGAAATAATTGCAGATACAACTACTCTTGTTTCCATAGAAACTCCATGTGGAAATTTTCCTAAGTCTTGTTCGTATTTCTTCTGGACAGAAATATTCTGAAATTGCCTCTGTCCTTTCCTTTGCCAGTCACTAAATGGTGAGAAAGGGAATGTCCTACCTTTTTCAGAGGATTTCAACTCCCTGATTTAGAAGTCTGCTGACTTGGCAGTCTGATTACTGGACTCACTCACTTTGATTTCTGACATGAAAGGGGAAACTATTTTTGTTATTGTTGTTTTGTTTTTTTCATTAGACAAACAAACTGATTTAACCCTGATGTGCGACATTAGCTATCACATCTTCTGATCATATAACATTTATATGCTCATAAGTTAATGCACAGAAGATTTGGAAGAGAAATTGACTTACTGACATTTTCTTCATTTTTAAGTTATAGAATTTAACTCTGAGATATATGTGTGTCTTTATATAATAATAATATCAATAAACAATGTTTTTTTTAAATTTTTCTTTGGCAATGAACTTACTAGAACTTTGTCTTGAGTTACTTTGCTTTGGAATTTGCTAGACAGCCATGTGATAGATAACTAACCTGAATACTGGTACATTCCTGATAGTGCTTATCTTGTGTATTTAGTATTATAGCAAAGCTTTAACATTTAATTACTTATATAATGTCTTATATTTTATCTCATATATTTGCTATAAAATTAACTACTGCTATAGAATATCTGTAGTCATTCCACTAGCAACTTGCATTGGATAAAGTCTTATTTTCCTAGAACTTAATAAATACAAGTAGGATTTTCTCCTTGAAAATTTTAAAAAGTAAGACAGGCAGGGTTTGCATTGCAAATGCAAGACAGATCCCAAAGAAAAATTCACCCATATGTTTCCAACAAGCCTCGAGATGTAAGTAGTGAATGAGTCATTGGGGCATTGAATTGTGCTCTCTTCTTCTTTCTAGCATAAAGTATTAACATATGTGTGTTTTCTCCACAGTAAAACCGACCGTAATTGATGTTGACATTTATGTTAACAGCATTGGTCCTGTGTCATCAATAAACATGGTAAGAAGATTTTATTTTCTGATCCGATGACTGTAGCACCCCTTTTAGTTTACATTCTCATTGTGGATTTCTGCTTGAGATTTACCATGTAGATTTAAAACTCAAAATTCACTTCTTAAATCTATAGCATTTGTTGGTAGTTTAAATATTGAAGATGATTAAAAAAAAATCAAGAGGTAGAATTTGTGACGTAAGCAGCGAGACACTGCTCTGATGATTAAGAAATGTTCCTACTTTCTTCTTCTCTGTTCAGGTATTTACAGCACATAGATTTTCAGATGGGATTACTTGCAATTGTGTGATCATTGGTTTAATTGAGCTATTTAATATTAGGAGTGAATATAAATGTCAGCTTGTTACTTTTGGTTTCTTGTTTAACAAGATCTGCCTTTAAGTGTTTCTCAGGAAGGTTTGGGTGATTACCCAGTTTATACTCTTGTCTTCAGGGAAATTTCTGAGGGTCCATCAGCTGTCATTGTTTATTTCAGGAGAAAGTATGGGATCAAGTATATGCTTTCCTTGAGAAGGGTGTTTCTACAGACTTACAACCAAATTGAGCCAAGGATTATTTACTGTGAAAGAAGTCTTTCCCCATGAAAAGGTGCTTAGCTGCTCAGCAAGTGCTGATATGCTGGAAAATAAGATACAAGCCTCCTCTTTCAGGATGCATACCGTGTGTTCCACCTGTGGGAATATGAAGGTTTCCCGGAGCAGGCTTGCATTTGTAGCCCCAAGCMATGTCATAGATGGCCCCGTGCTGGGGGCCTTTCCTGTGCTCATTCCTACACATTTTGTCCTGAAAGGGGGACATGTGAGACCCAAAGTAGGGAATATCCAAAATGCTAAGTCACATGTCTTCTTTTCACTGCAGTATTCTGTGGATGGAAATAAACCCTCCACAATTAGTAGCAAGACTGCACTGCCAGATTCTAAAAGTGTTCTTATCTTTGGTGATATGAAGGTTCCATTGAGGGGTAAAATTATACATATGGGTAAATCCTTCAAAAAACCATTCTTGGGGCTGGGTGTGTGTAGTTCAGTGGTATAGCATGTATTTGCATGTTTGAAGTTCTGGGTTCAATCACCCGATTAATAAAAAATCTCCATAACATCTATCAATAAACTGGAACATAAAGGTAAAATGAATAAAAGAGAATTACTTTATACAGCCCATGGACTACAGATGGCTTTTGTAATAAAATCAAGCTACAAATCTCATAGTCCCTTTCATGATAAGTAATTACTTAGTCGACTGTGTGAGAGTAATCATTTCTTAATGTATTTATTTATTATGCTGGAGTTTTATTTGCTTATGTTTGTTACATTGCATTTTATTTATCAGCTTTATATGTAACAGTAATTTGTGCCTAACACTGAAAACAAAGGTACCTCTATAGATGTATAGTTACCGAATTGTTTTAACAAAGTGTTCTCACATTTGTATATGTAGGGATTTCTTATAACTTTGAAATCTACTCTGTGCTCAGTATTAAGCTTTGTTGTTGAAATCATCGGAAAATCACGGTGTCAGAAGAGCATGCAAAGTGTGTGATATTACCCTCATATGATAAGAACTCTGCAAAGTTAGGCACCCTCCACAGGAAAATTGGAAGAACAGAACACGCTTCTCCACTGAGGTCATCTCAATCTGAAACCTGACTGACAGGGCAAAGTTTGCTGGGTAGGACAGTATGGAAAGGTCCCTGCTTACAAAACAGTATAACAGTGTGTGACAGGACTGGGGAGAGATTTATGTCCCAAGGAATGCCCAGGGGGTGGGTGCATGGGGTATCACCCTTTCTTCTCAGGCTGAGGCCTTGAAGCCATGGCAAAGATTTGACTTTGCCCTAAGGTTTGTCCAAAACAGATCACAGTGTTTGGAAAAGTGCAAAGCCCATTTCTACCTTAGATATGTGCAGATCATACTTCATGAGATTAGCTTTTAATTCAATTCCTGCAAAATCTCTGGTCAAACCTCCTTTCACCCTTTTAAAGAAAAAACAACCATGTAAGGACACACATTTGACATTAAGGATTTAAAATCTTAAACTCTGGCCCTTTCATCTAAAGATAAGGAACTTCCTAATCAAAATGGCCTGAGGGATTTTAAGGCCTCCTTCTCAAAAAAAAAAAAAAAAAATCCTTGGGCTTAAGCAACACATACATCCTGATACAGAGATATAGCAAGTTACCAATTTTAGGGTTTTTTTTGGAACAGGGAAGGAACATAAAGCTTTTTTCAGTTAACCCCCTTATTTAAAAAACAACAACAATAAAAATGCCCTGAATGTCTTGAAATTTCATTTAGTCCATGTTTTTCTTTCAAGAATGTGACTCTACTGTAGTGAAAGGATGGACAATGAATGTTGCTGCTTTTATTTTGTGAAACCAAAGCAGCTCTCCAGGCAATAGTAGAGAAACTGATCAATAGCAAATGTTTTACTTTGGAAATAGTGCCACGTTTACGGTCCTTTCTTGGCAGAGCTGAAGTATAATCTAGGCCATTCCTGCATCTAATTTCTTTTTTTATTTGTTTTAATTAGTTACACATGACAGTACAATGATCTTGACATATTATACATTTGAATCAGATGGGATATACTTTCTCATTTGTCTGAGTGTACAGGTTGCAGAATTACATTGGTCATGCAGTCATATATATACCCACAGCAAAAATAATGTCTATTTTATTCTGCTGTCCTTCCAACCTGCATCTAATTTCATGAGGAAGAGATAATATACTACTGACATACCTCAGCTCAACAAAGCACGGGATAGGCAAGGGTTTGTTTAAAACACACACACACACACACACACACACACACACGTTTATACATATAATTTCTATGTTCTCTGTGGGTGTCTCTCTCTGTATCTCTCTTTGTTCATTCACTAAACAGTTTCTACTGTGTTAGGGCACTGTGTTGGATTCAGGTAAAATAAGATGAAGGAATTTCTACCCTGGGGCAAGCAACTGCACAAATGCATTAGGTGCCAGGTGTAAAGCTCAATGCTGAGCTCCCCAGGGGAGGAAATATCTTGCTGACCTTTGGGAGGTGTCCAAGGCCTTTTGAAGCATGGGCCTCCATGCTGCCTCTTGAAGGATGAGAATTTCTTACCTTTGCATTTGATACACTTTGCTTCTTTCCTTGGGGAACACATCACATAAACCCATTGTATCTGTGAAGCCACGTTATACTATTGTAAAAGAATATAAAATGCTTATTAAAAGCAAAATTTGGGCCTTCCAACAATAAAAATTTAAAAGTAGAGAACTGACTATGTAAATGGGTATTGAGGACAAAATCATCAATTGAAAAAAAAAACATAATCAGAAAAATGTGAGAGACTTAAAACAAAGAATATTTACAGGAAAAAGCACCATTTAGAGATGTGCGCAGGGTTTCAGGATGTAAATTTGTATTGGCATTTTACCATAAAGCGAAAGCCTGATAGCATGATGATTTTTTCCCCTCAAACAGCCACTTAGCAATCAGTAACTTAGGGAAGACAAGGACTATTTCTTCCTCTTTGCCTTTTCCCTATTTGGCTTTTTGTTGACATTATTAAGATTGAAGATTTAATTTCAGACCTTCCTCCTGCTAAATGAAAATGAAGGTTCATTTCAATATTGTTGAATAGGTTGACTCTGATTGTCTTGTTTATTCTGCAGTTATCAACATTGTTTCTGGTTATCAAGGAGATTAGAATTCGTTCAGATGGGACCAGGAGAATATTCTTTTGCACAGTGCTTTCGTAGCAGCTTCTGTTTTTGTCATGACAACATTTCTAAATGTGTACAGTTTCTCATCAGAATTGTGCACGAACTGTTTCAGGACCATGCAGTTTTTCTTTTTTTAAAGCAGCATGCAGGGGAGCTTGTGGGTTTATTTTTGAGAATATCCACTTAAAAGTAGCCTTTTAGGAAAAGAAAGAAGAAAACTAGTGCTCTCGTACCTGCTCTATGCTGTTGGTCTCATCTAAGTTAGTCTTCTATAGATCATAGTGGGGAATCTATTCTTATTTGTGTTGAGTTAACTGAAGCTCATTGAAATTCCAGAACAAGGATTTCATTATGACCCACTTGGTGGTAACCCAGGCTTGTTCTCCAGTTAGTCTGGTGATAATGCAACTCTATGTATGCACCAGGATAGCTGCTGCTTTAACCAAGACCTTTGAGATGAAAAGGCTCAGCATGAGTCTAGTGTTAGGATTGCTTTTCCTTTAAAAAAGCATTAATTAGTAGATTTTATTTTTTAGTGAAGCTTTAGGATTGCAGAAATTTGCATAGACAGTACAGAGAATTCTCAGTGTGCACCCTTTACATTAGGGTTCACTCTCAATGCTGTATACTCTGTGGATTTGGACAGAAGGATCCTGATATGTGTTCACCATTATAGTATTATATCCAAAACTTTCATAGTCCCCCCCCCAAATCATCTGCGCTCTCCCAATTCACCCCTCTTTCCCCATGACCTATGGTGAGATCCAATCTTTTTACATTTTTCATAGTTCCACTTTTTCCAGAATGTCACATATTTGGAATTATACCATATGTGGCTTCTCCAGACTGAGGTAGTACCAGACAGGTAGTGAGTCAGCATGATGTAACTATAATGTGAGTTACCCATAAATTAATGGGAGGTGGCTGTGTAAGTCATGGGAATAAGTTAAACTTCACCAGAATTTCATTATATGATAAATAAAACTCATGGGATATTATGTAGCAACAAGAGTCATGGGGGAAAATGTGAGGACCTCCAACCTCATGCTGCTCTGTTCCCCTTTTATTTGAAACTTTAAGAAATGATACCAGGCAGCTATGCCCTTATTAAGATCTGTAGAAGATAAACTCCATTTCAGAAAAGTTGATCTTGTTGGAGGATGATTTATTGCTCTGTGGAACTTTCTTGAAGGCGTTTAGTTTCAGGAAAGTCCAAAAGAAGTGCTGGCTACTATAATATGCTGCCAACTTTGTTTAGGATTTTTTTCATATTTAT